TTATTCTAACCGTCCCCAACCTCTGAGCCCCCTTGCCTGAGCCTAAGTTTGTGGCCAGAGGAGGCTGCTGCTTAGGAAGTGTTGGGTTCAAGAGGAACTGAATGGATTTCCCCACGCACACCCCGGCACGCGTACTCTGCTGTGCATTTTTTATTCGCTTCAGAAATTTGGGTTGAGGTCCTTGATTTGGAGGGGGGAGGGAAGAAGTCATCTCAGTGTTTCACTTTGAAATTTCTTCCTGTTTTATTAACAAAACAAATGAGGCTGCTGCTTAGGAAGTGTTGGGTTCAAGAGGAACTGAATGGATTTCCCCACGCACACCCCGGCACGCGTACTCTGCTGTGCATTTTTTATTCGCTTCAGAAATTTGGGTTGAGGTCCTTGATTTGGAGGGGGGAGGGAAGAAGTCATCTCAGTGTTTCACTTTGAAATTTCTTCCTGTTTTATTAACAAAACAAATACACTCCCGTCTTCAACCCGCCCCCCCAACCCTGTACTAAGTGGATTCTACCCCCTCCCACCCACGCTTTAGACTTAGCGTTCGCCAGACTTTTCAAAGGGTTTTCCCCCAGCGGGAGCAAATGGTTTCTTCTCCGACTGGCAGAGAACCAAAACTTCTGTGAGTTGTCCAGCCCCAGAGAGCAAGTGGGTACGTACGTCCAGCCGTAATTTGTAGCTTGGCCTCGTTTAACCACTGGCCGTATGGCCCAGGCTCGGGGCCGGCCCGCAGTGTGTTCTGGGTTGAACTGGAGCAGGGCGGAGAGGAAACCAGACTGCTACACCAGTCTAATTCGCCTGGTTAAAGATTGTTTAGATCTTCGCCAATTTCCCCATGTCAGCCGGAGGCAGCTCACCCCCGACTGTCTCCTATATCTGTGCCCCCTCCCTCCATCCTGCCAGCTGCCCTAGCTCTGCTCCCCAGGCCGCCTGGGCCAGTTTTGGTGGGTGGCTGCTCTGTGGTCCCTCTGCCGCTCAGTGTCCTTCGGATTTGGCTGGGCGCCGGCCGGGTGGCTAATTCCCCTGCGGTGAGGGTCATCCCAGGCCCCAGCTGCTGGGGGCGGAGGAGAGCAAATGGAGTCGCCCCTTTTGGCAGCTGGGGGGTGGGGATGGGGGTCCACCCTACCGGGGTCACAAACACTCTGGTGGTGGTGGGGAGCCCCACACGTAC